GCAAAGCTCTCCCTCAAGAGTTTTAACACTGCTGCATTCCCAGGGCTCGAACACGAGACCACTGGTTAAGCTGAAAGAGACCCAAACCATCTCATCCAATTTGTTCGTTAGACAAACGAAAAAATTGAATGCTGTCCATTAAACGAGTAAACCCCATTGCTCACTATAAATACATTCTTTTCTCGACTTGGAAAAAAATATGAAAATCTACAAATTAATTGTCCGCAATTCTTTCCCCCCCAAAGACCAAAACTAATAAAAATGAACGGGTCACCCGATGAACTACTTCCCCCTCTTGCTAGAAGGTCCAACTATATTTCATTCACTTCAATACAATTATAAATCAATCTATATTATCAATATTTCATCAATCACATTGTTAACTTTTTAATGATTATAATCCCTTCCCAACTGCAGATTGGACGGCAAGGTGGCCGTCATAACCGGAGGCGCCAGCGGGTTTGGAGAGAGCACTGCGAGGCTCTTCGCGCGCCACGGCGCGAGCATTGTCATCGCTGACATCCAGGATGAGAAGGGCCTTTCCCTCTGCCGCGAGCTGTGCGGTGCCCACCCGGGCCGGGTCTCGTACGTCCACTGCGACGTCACCCGGGAGTCGGACGTGCGCGCGGCCGTCGACCTGGCGGTCTCGGCCCACGGCGGCCTCGACGTGATGTTCAACAATGCGGGAATTCCCGGGAAGCTCGACTTTGCCATCGCGGAGGCTGACGGGGACAACTTCCGGCGCGTGATGGACGCCAACGCGTACGGGGCGTTCCTCGGGACGAAGCACGCGGCTCGAGTGATGGTCCCGGCGGGGAAGGGAGTGGTGCTGTACACGTCGAGCCTGGCGTCGGTGACGGCAGGGGAGTCCCCGCACGCGTACGAGGCGTCGAAGCATGCGGTGGTGGGGCTGATGAGGAGCGCGTGCGTGGAGCTCGGGCGGTATGGAGTGCGGGCCAACTGCATATCGCCGTGCGCGGTGGCCACGCCGCTGCTGACCGGGGCGATGGGGGTGGGGGCGGGGGTGGTGGAAGGGATCATAGGGGCGTCGGCGACGCTCAAAGGGGTGGTGCCCACCGCGGAGGACGTGGCGGAGGCAGCGCTGTACCTGGCGGGGGACGGGGCGAGGTTCGTGAGCGGGGTGAACCTGGTGGTGGACGGAGGGTACAGCACCACCAACGGGAGCTACAGCCGGGAGATTCAGAGCGTGTTTGGGTCGCCGCCGTCTTCGTGACTGATGCTGATGATAAGTGAATTATGCGTGTGATATTAATTAATACTGGTAGTTGGGAAATAATTTGTCGGGATTGAGTTTTCTTTATTTTCGTTACAAAAGGTGATTACGGATTAATATTGTCAACATCAAATAAATATAAGTATTTCGTATACCCAAGTTATTTATTAAAATTTGTCTGTATTATTACTCGAGCATATCCGTTTGCGAAATAGTGGGATATGTTGTAGTATCTGTTATTGTCTAATAATGTATGGGAAAATTTTAATTATTTATAGCACTGTTTCTTCTTTCGTTTGCTTTGAATTGAGAGTCTATTGCGTCTCTGATGTCTATTTTGCAATATCTGTATTTACTAATTACTTTTTTCTTTGTTGTAATGGCAAACAACAACTTTTATACCACTCAAATAAAGAGTACACAGATAATCAAATGATTACAACCATATCGGACTAAACAAGTAGCCCACACAGCACGGGACATAAAATAATCCAACCCTAAAAGGCACATGAGCCCATAACAAAAGAACAAGAAACTAGAAAATACAATAAACTCGAGCATTACAAGCATTAAGGAGTGTATATATCTCAGCAAGGTCCATAGTATTTAACTCAGTTGGGAAGAGCATCTTCTCTAATATGTTCACAATCTCTGCAGTAGGTATGAAGCAGTTGAAGTCATAGAACTGCATATCTCTAGCCTTTCTCAAACTCCATAACAAAGCGGCCATTAAGCTCTCCTCCTCACTGGTTGGACCTTCATGCTCATCCTTCCACTGGACCTTGCTCTAGCAAGTGATCTCCACATAACAAGATGCAGAAGTAACTCCTCCAACATGCATTGAAGCACTGATAGTCAGAAAAGACTTACATACTTCTTTAGAAAAAATTTTGTCATGTTGTGTAGTTGACTTCAGAGTGCCTTTGAGCTTCTTCCAATGGATATTGTTCGGTCTATCCAACCAATCCACCCACTCTGCTTTAGCTTCTTCTACCAGATATCTGTCATGAATCCAGTCTCCCTTGTACAACCATTTGTTTCTAGCCTTCGACAAATTCCACATCATCATAGCAGATAAACTTAGTATCTCTTTCTTCATCTCCAACTTCCCAGCACCACAAATATTAAGTTCACCACTTTTGGAAAAAAAACCATGTTATCACTATCATGTCCCCATTGCAATCCACTAAGGGGTGATTCGATATGAATTCAACTAGTAAAAACTAGTTTTTTGTTTTAACTATAGTTAAGTTTAAAAAAAAATAGTATGGTTAGTTATTAGTGGATATATATTAAAATAATATTTAAATTAAAATAATTAAAGTTGATTTGATGTAAAAGTATGAGAAAATGATTGGAAGTGATAGTTAATTATAATTATGTGAGTAGATGAATAGTGAATTAATGCTAATGTGATGTGTAATAATGATTGGTTGATATTATTTAATTATATTGATAATGTTGGAGATAGTGGAGTTGAATTAAAGTTGAGTTAAATTTGAGTTTTGATTGAAATTTTTACTGTAGAATATGTAAACAATCACACAAGCACCTTTTAGCTTTGACACAGTTGAACAACACATGATTCATGTCTTCCTCCTTATCTCCACAGCAGAACAAATGAGGTCTACCATGATACCTTTCTTGTTCAATCGGAATTTTGTACTGATGTCACTACAAGAATAATCATTTTTAGTGACGATAATTTTTGTCGCTATGTCGTCTGAAAAAATATCGTCGCTAATAATGTCCTAATATTGTCGCTATATGTTCGAATGTCGTCACAATAATACCTCTTATTGTGACGGTATTTTTTGTGACGACGTAGCGACAAATTATCGTCACTAAAAATGATTATTCTTGTAGTGTGTATTCATGCCAATACCACCATAAGAAATTTTTCACCTTAGGTTTCAGTGATAGAGCCCAGGTTGTTTTCCACGTTGTGGTTAAAGCCTCTATATCCATACTAGTGCCAGCTATTTCTTGTGTTGGAATTCTGCTCTTTAAAATAGTTTTATACACCTCGACAGAGAACTTAGGTTTCAGTGGTAGAGCCCAGGTTGTTTTCCACGTTGTGGTTAAAGCCTTTATATCCATACTAGTGCCAGCTGTTTCTTGTGTTGGAATTCTGCTCTTCAAAATAGTTTTATACACCTCGACAGAGAACTTAACTTTTGGAATCCCATGCCAAACAAGTTTATCAGGGACATTACCAACTGGTATAGAGATATTTAGAATTTTGACAACATCAAAGGGCTCAAAAGTTTGCAATATAAGCTCTTGGTCCCAAGCCCTCTCATCTGCCTTGAAAAGGTCACAAACTTTCACCAGAGAAGACATGTCCTCCCTAAAATGGCAAATTGGCTTTAAAGATGGTGCACCTGGTAACCATGTTGATTCCCAAATAAGGATACTCTCCATCCCCACCATAAATCTGGCTCCTAAATTGAGAGATTTCCTGGCATGAAGAAGACTTCTCCAGAGCCATGAATCAGATGCTCTGGGGCAAACATCTCTCAATTTAGAGTTCCAAAAGTACTTGTCTTTGATAACTATGCTTACCAACAATTAGGTTTAGTGATAAACCTCCACAGTTGTTTGATAAGCAAAGCCTTATTAAAAGCAACATGGGAATAATAGTCATTAACTCATATTGATGCGTGATTTTAGTGGGAGTCATGGCTCACTTATCATGTACTATGATTTGTCAATGCTCAAACTGAATTGGTGGAAAAAGTTTATCTATTTTTCTCTGCAAATATAATTGATGGCCGGCAATATGTTGATTGGAAAAATTTATGTCTAAGTGAAATTACGAATATTGTAAGAATGGTTTAGTTGATATTGTTTCTATCCTTTTTCTTTTTCAAATGATAGATTCTATTAACTCAAAGAGAAAGAAAATATAAAGCCAATACAACGCGGTGATCCACTGATCATAAGAAAAATCCAACTAATCTAACACTTAGATCCAGCTTGAAAAATTATCAACCCACACAAGGTTAGAAGCAGTACAATCAGCCTCCACAGCAAGAGTGCTGCAGTATCCAGAAGGGGATTAAGCACTAAAAGAAAATTACATTGAACAAAAAAAGAAACTAAGTGAGAGATGTCCTCGGCTATTGTCTGCAATTTTGCACTGGTGAAACCTGCAGAGTTAAGATAACTGACCATACCCACATCATCAATCACAATAGCCACCTTTTTTCTAGTTAAGCAAAAAAGCATTCCAAGGGACCAGTTGAATACCAATGAGCATAGCTTCTTGCGGTTCAGAAAATTTAGGCATAGCAGATTTTCACACCCTACAAACTACATCAGTTTCAGCTTCCTTGGCAATCCCCAACACCACTACCCATGCCTGGAATGTCACAAGCACTGATAAACAAAAGAGTTTGCCCTATTGTGTTGTACGTCAAGATCCCCAACCTTACATGAATAGTGGCCAACTAGAGACTTAGAATTTTTGAATTCAATCCAATCAACGCAAGCTTGATCAACTAGATCCTTTTCAGAGATGGAAATATTCTCAATAAAGCCATGAATTTCTGGTTCTCCATAACCACCAAAGTAAATAGACTGGAGTTCCATCCTTTCTTCCAACATTCACCCCTTTTAGCATTACAAATATCTAACCACCAACCTCTAAATGTATCTAAGACAATAAGAGTACTATTCCAACCAGATATTGTTTCTGTCAGTGTACCTTATAGTGACGATCAAGCTTTTACAAATTAACATCCCTGCTTAAATATTTACACAAACGACGCAATTAATGTTATTTTGCATGGATTATGTTGAATGGGAAATCAAGATCCTTTCCCAGATTTTGAAACCTTAATTGCACTGTGCATATTTAGTTTATTAGAAAATCATGTATTAATTGATGTATTAATCTGAAGGGATTAGTATCACGATGCTAATGCTAATAATTAAATAACACTAGTAGATATCATGTGCACATGAACAGATGTACATAAAATATTATTAAGTAATATTTGAGAATTTAATATTAAAATTCTAGATAATGAACATATTGCATTTTCAAAAATTTGATCATTAGAAAAAATAAACTAACGATTTTATCATTATGAACAATTATTTATTATCATTAGATAATAACTGTTTGATTATTATTATTAGTATTATTATTATTATTAAAAAAACAATTGTTTATTAGCTTCTAAAGTTGTTTGACTATGCTATTAAAACAATTTACTAATTATTTTTAAAGAAATTTTTTCATGAGATACAAAAGAAAAAGATAATATTGATGTTAATATAAATAACTTGAAACAATTGTGTATAATTATTTATTTTATATTTATTGTGAATTATTATTAGTTGGTATTAGCAATAACTATTATATAATATAATAGAAAATATATGATTACACTTAATAGGATGTGTTAATGTGAGAAGTAAAAAAATATTAATGATAAATTTTATAACTGAAAATAGAGGGAAAATTTTAGAGGTTTTATTAAATATGTAAAATTTGTAATTGGTTAATAAGTCAAATCATAAGAAAAGAGAAGGAAAATAGCACAGGCCAGTGGGAATAGACCGAATCGAAGCTTAAATGCTAAGCTAGCAATTATATATATATATATATATATTATTATTAAAAAACAATTATTTATAAGATTCTAAAGTTGTTTAACTATGCTATTAAAATAATTTACTAATTGTTTTTAAAGAAATATTTTTATGAGATACAAAAGAAAAAAATAATATTGATGTTAAAATACATAACTTGACAATTGTTTATAATTATGTAATTTATATTTATTGTGAATTATTATTAGTTGGTATTAGCAATAACTATTATATAATATAACAAAAACATACATGATTACACTCATTAAGATGTATTAATGTAAGAAGTAAAAAATATTAATGTCAAATTTTGTGACCGAAAATGGAGGAAAAATTTTAGAGGTTTTATTAAATGTTTTATTAAATGCCACATTCCAGCAATTATATATCTCTCTTAT